ATAGCATTTATTGTTTTTGCGTATTTGCGACTGTGCAGGAAATATCTTCACAGATGCTAGTCTTTATGTCAGTGACCATCTGGCTTTAAACCTCCCTTATACTAATATTGGGGTAGCATTTTGATTTAATGCTAAGGCCTTGATTTTATTTGTCTGAATCAGAGTCAGAAATGATTCCAATCTGTTGAAAAAACCTATTCATATATTTTACCCACAGAAGTCACTATAAAATTATATGGTATTATTTTTACAGATCAAACATTTGAACAGTTTTTTCTAACATAGTAAAATAATTTCTGATGCCGATTAAAACAAATTTAGTTGAGGCCTTAGTTTAGAAGACAACTCTTGCAAACTGTGCGTGTTTATTTTATCTAACATGTAGAGGAAAGGTTAATATTTTTAAATTATCTAATTACAAGCAGAGCTGGTAGACAAATCACTGAAGTACATGTACTAGTTTTTGTCGTTTAGTGTACATTGCACATAGTTCTTTCATGTTTTAATCCAATTGCATGAAATTTGGAAGAAAAACAAATGAACAAGTCTACTGGTTAGATATTAAGGATGCACAGGTTTTATCTTTCTGCTTATTGAAAAGTTTGCACTTTTCATTGAAATGGTAATATCTGAACAACAGCAAGTAACATCTAAATATCCAGATCTCCAATGGGAATAAGAAAGAAAAGTTTATCGAACATGTTTCTTACATTGGAACATCAGACAGAAAAAAACGAGACAGACTGGGTAGACACCTAGGGCAATGTAGTCATCTGAAAAAGACGTCTCTTGTCATCCATCATATTTGTTAACGCTCACATTCACCCCTTGAGGATTGGGTATTTCTGCAGAATGTTGTGTTTCCTTTCAATTATGACATTTGACTGAAACAGATTAGTGACAAGCAGTTTTGATCATCATTGTCCTTCTATATGCATTGAAGCCTAGGTAATACATTACATGCATTTCAATGGAAAAACATCTATTTTAAGACAATCCTCTGTTGTCAATTTCAGTCTATTCCATTTACAATAAAAACCTCTAATTAACTTACGACAAAGACCAATTAACATATATATTTTGCACTCGACTAGACATCAACATTATATACCCTAATAAGCAACAAAACAGATGTCCATTATAAGATAGAAATGTTCATAATAACACATTTCATTACTTAATTGAGCTAATGTCTTCTTCTCCCACTCCCTCAGAATGGGTGTTCTAAATTCCACTATGCTGTGGGGTTACAGAGGGCACTTTGCAAGCTGTAGACTAAAAGTAATCATGCTGTTATGAGCATCATATAATTATGATTTAATGATATCACAATAACTTTACATTCAGAGGCTATTTAATGGAGCCAACTAGTTGAGAGAAGTTTGATAATCTAAAAACAAAGATATATATGAAAATAATAGATGCTTCATTTTGTTTGTTAAATGTAGACTTATACTATATGAAAAGCTGATTTAAAGGCATACTCTCCTGCCCAAATGCAAAACAAATAGACTCACTGTTTAGTAGATATAACCAAATGAAAACTTGCATGCATTTAATTATGCATTTACCAATGGGGGTATATCTAAATCCAGCTTGCAAAAGCTACAGTTCTCTTGCCTGCTGCTTTTGCAAGCCCTCTACTTCAATCCCTGCCCATATTTCTGTGTCTCTGCTTCGTTTTAAATAAAGACTGCATTTTAGAAGAAACCTCAGGTGTGCCTGGATATTTCTTTTTTTTTTCCATTCTGTGGCTGTCCAGACTTTCCAATGCAGTCTTTTCCACGAAGTCTTTGCAAAGCAGGTGCTCAGAGTACCTCTTCAGTTTGAGTTAACTTCACTTAGCTAACCAAACCAGGAAGTGACAGGACCTTTTGTCTGATTGAAAGTCAGGGAGGTGTAACCAGGTTAACTTATAAAAGTGTCAATTTCTGTTGAAATCTAGAATAAAAACACAGATGCACTTATAAGAAAATAAGTTATTTATAGATCATTATAGAAAGCTCAATAACACATTAATTGCCACCAGCATTTATATTTCTATACGTCTTTAAACATGTATTCACAACTTCACAACAAACATGTGTTCCTTTTGAGTGGTTTATTCAAAATCTGGGGCACCAACAGGGCCAACTTGATATTAGGTAAGCAGGGGGCTGAACTATGGGTGTTTCAGGGGCCCAGAGGTACCCATACTGTGCACGCTATCTAGCTTAGCAGCTACATCTGTCTTAAATTTATTTTCTTGATTTGATATTCTATAGACTTGGATAGTCCTTCAACTCCAAGCTGAAATGTAGCAAAATCATAAACCAAAAGCAATGCATAATACTGAGAGGTGACCAACAGAGGGAAGAAAATGAGAAGCAGTAAAATAAATATATGATTAGAGATTTTTTTTTATTCTCCTCCTCTTTGCCCCGTATCTGTTACTTTCTTATTTGAAAACCAAGTGGCAGCAAAATCTGCCTATCGTTATATGGTAAAATATATATATACATAACATTAATATTTATTGCACCTTTTGGATAACCTGATTTGTTTTTCCAGATTTTTTTTTTCGTTACAATAATTTGGCCAAGCCAAACCGTCATATTGTCAAAAGTCAGTCATCTCGAAAAATGTTTAATTTCCAGCAAAGTGGTTTGGCTTAAACTATTTTTGTTGTTGTACGCAAGTCTAGTATATTATGATATGTTAACCATCCAAATTGTCTGCATGTTTTTAACACTGATTTACAAATTATTAGTCGTCAAATTTGTTTGAACACCTCCTTACTTAGTCTCAACTCAGCAATCTTTATTTTAATTAGTTTCCTTTAAACAATGAGGGCTAAATTCTACAAACTGGGAAAAATTAACTCTGATCATTAAATAGCAATTCTCTCATAGAATATTATAACTGCAAACGAATTTGTGCTTAGAGAATACAGCCAATAGGTTCTTAACATGTATCATAATTAACATGTGTTGTGAGTGTTAATTACACATTTTTATCAAATAATCATTTTGATTCTTGTTGCTCATTTGTAAAACATTTAGGGTTATTCACTAAACAAAGAGAAAAATGCCCCTCTCTGTCTCAGAGAGTTTGCCTTGTAGCTGAAAACAGCAAGGTGAATTGCTAGTGTAGGACTCACCCAAGAGGTTTTGTCTTGATGTGGCACGTGAGCGTACAGTTTAAAGAAAATTATTGTGTTATTATTTATATAGCGCCAACAAATTCCGCAGCTCTTTACAATGGTTGTTCTTCTCCACGGAAAACTTTAATTAAACGCGAAAGATTTATTCGGTCTGAAGAGAAACCAGAGTAAAAGAAAATTGGAGTGTTGCTAAAAAAAACCCCCACCAGTTATTTAACTATGCAGAAGGAAAAAATATTGATTCTTCATCATAAAAGCTCAGTTTGCTCCCAATAGCAGAAGGTTAATTATAAATTGATCTTTCTCTGATACAGGATTTCTACACTCCTCCATGGGTCCAGGTCCGTGTTGGAGATGCGAGGAGGCAGAAGGGACACTATGGCATGTGTGGTAGGAGTGAGCTCATACACAAACTTTTTACGACATGATTAAGGCCAAGATCACCAAACTATTTTTTCGAACTATTTTTTCGGAATAACCCTGATAATCTCATAATGTTTACCAACTACCAACTTGGATGTAAAAATGCATGCTAACCTAATATGCAAGAGGTACCTCTTGAACCCCACTCTAACCGACGAAGCATTTTCTAGGTGTATATAAGTTAAAGCACAGAACAAATACATGTATGTTATATTAAATATGTGCATTATTGTGGCATTATTGTGTTGAACTCCTGCTAAGCAAAGGTTTTGGTTGTTTTTTATGTGTAAGCCAAGAAGCATGAGTTGTGCTTGCATTCACATTTAGTGAATGTATCGACATTTCTAATAGTTGGGAGGCTTACCTAAACTGGCCTGTACTTTACATATATTTTATATTACACAATATATATTATATAACATGTGGGAAAAGTTACTGATTTATGGCTGCTCTCATGTAATGTTATTTAATTATATTATAGAATAATACTGTATTTGAGCCAAAAATAATGTACATTTTAGAGCACAAGTGTAGTCATTAGGAAATAATTACAGATATTACATATGCAAGCAAAACTTCTCTTTTTTTTTTAAGAGTTAAAGCTTCATATAGGGAAATGAGAGCATTGAACCAAAGCTGGTTCATGCTTAAGGGACAAATTTGGTTGAAATATATTGAAAGACATTCGGAAATCACCCTAAATCTGGCCCTGACTTTTTTATTCCAATTGTTGAGCAACTGGGGAAAACATAAAATGGCAAGTGACCCAATAAATGCGTGCATGTCTTTGCAACTATGTTTGAATAAACCTTGAAGCGTAATTCTTCAATCTAGAATAGAAATTTGAATGTTTTACAACCTCTTCATTTTTGATCAACTTGCAAAAATATAGACTTATTTGTTATTTTATGTATAATTCTATTTTCTATAATGTAATATTATTATTTATTTAGTAATAAGGAGTCTTTATGTGCAGAAGAAATATTTTGTACTTTATATCACAAAATGCTATTTAAAAAGGACATAGTTTAACCACCTACGTAAATATTACATATAGCATTGAGAATGTTATCTTATTAGAGGTCCTAAAATACCTATATTGTGTTTCTGTATGTAATATATGATATAATAGCTTAAGAGACATAAATGTTATTTTACTTCTTCGCAAAAAAAATATATATATATATTGTGGCGGAACAGACCTCGCCACGTGTTCTTGGAGGGGGCTGCTTGCCCGCCTCCTACCTTCTGACTATGGCCCTGGGATATATGGCATTTGAAAACACTATTTGTGCCCTGTGACAAAACTGGAGATTGTGCACAAATATGACTATTGTCCATATTTATTATGATTCCCTTCGTTTGTTTCACTGTTCCCCATTAGAGATGTCGCGAACTGTCCGCCGAACTGTTCGCGAACTGTCCGCCGGCGAACAATAGCGTGTTTTCGCGTTGGGCGAACATATCCGATTTCCGGTCCGCCCCCTATACGTCATCATTGAGTAAACTTTGACCCGGAACCTCACAGCCAGCAGACACATTCCACCCAATCAGCAGCAGACCCTCCCTCCGGGTCAAAGTTTACTCAATGATGACGTATAGGGGGCGGACCGGAAATCGGATATGTTTGCCCAACGCGAACACGCTATTGTTCGCCGGCGGACAGTTCGCAAACAGTTCGGCGGACAGTTCGCGACATCTCTATTCCCCATGTGTTTCATCTGTTGGTTCGGCTGGATAGACTACCAGACAAACTGTAGAGTTACTGGGTGGCCACCATTTCATGTATCAGAGGCACATGGCGAGAACAATGGATGAAGCACATGGTGAGAACAATGGATGGCGGCCATTTTAACTCAGAGACACTGTTTTGACTTTTCTACATGGTGCCATCTCGCCGGTATTTGGTGCCCCCCCTCCTCCCCAGTGATCCTTAGTGTCCCCTCCCCTTCCTCCCCCAGTGGTCCTTAGTGTCCCCTCCCCCAGTGGTCCTTAGTGTCCCCTCCCCCAGTGGTCCTTAGTCCCCCCCAAGTGGTCCTTAGTCGTCCCCCTCCTCCAGTGGTCCTTAGTGCCTCCTCCTCCTCCCCCAGTGGTCCTTACTCCCCCCGCTCCTCCCTCAGTGGTCCTTAGTGTCCCCCCTCCTCCCCAGTGATCCTTAGTGTCCCCTCCCCATCCTCCCCCAGTGGGTCCTTATTGTCCCCTCCCCCAGTGGTCCTTAGTCCCCCCCTCCTCCTCTCCCAGTGGTCCTTAGTCCCTCCTCCTCCTCTCCCAGTGGTCCTTAGTCCCCCTCCCCTTCTCTCCCCAGTGGTCCTTAGTCCCCCCTTCTCTCCCCAGTGGTCCTTAGTCCCCCCTTCTCCCCCCAGTGGTCCTTAGTGTCCCCCTCCTCTTTCTTCCCAGTGGTCCTAGTGTCCCCTCTCCTCCTCCCCCCCAGTGGTCCTAGTGTCACCCCCCTCCTGCTCCCCCAGTGGTCCTAGTGTCCCCTTTCTCAGTGGTCCTTAGTCCCCCCTTCTCTCCCCCAGAGAAGTCCCTGTAAACCTCCTCCTCCTCCTCCTCCCAGTGGTCCTAGTGTCACCCCTCCTCCTCCCAGTGGTCCTAGTGTCCTTCCTCCTCCTCCCTCAGTGGTCCTAGTGTCCCCTTCCTCCTCCCCCACAGTGGTCCTTAGGTTCCTTCCTCCCCCAGTGGTCCTGTCCTCTTCCCTCCCCCAGTGGTCCTTAGTGTCACCCCCCCTCCTGCTCCCCCCAGTGGTCCTTAGTGTGCCCCCCTTCTCCCCCAGTGGTACTTAGTGTCCCCAATCCTCCTCCTCCCACCCAGTGGTCCTTAGTGTCACCCCCCTCCTCCAGCCCCCAGTGGTCCTTGGTGTCATCCTTCCCTCCTCCCCAGTGGTCCTTGGTGTCACCCCCCTTCTCCCCCAGTGGTACTTACCCTCCTCTTCCTCTTCCCTCCTGAGTACCGCCAATGTAACTTCCTGTCAGTCTGCCGGCGGCCGGGTACAGGAAACAGAGGTTCCTGTCCCGCGTTCCGCGCCGCCTGGGCACGCTACATTGAGAGACCGGCAGGAGGGAGCGCTCTGCACTTCCCTCCTGCCGGTCACTCAAATCCGGCCGCCCTCCACAGCAGTGCTGCGCCGCCTGAGGCTTGTAAAAGCGCTCAGGTGGCGCAGCATGAGGAGCCGCCGGGCGCAGGGATCCGGCGCCCTCTGCTAAGGTGCGCCCTAGGCGGCTGCCTAGGTCGCCTTACAGGTTGCGCCGGCCCTGCATCCAAGCATGAACGTAGATAAGTCCAACATGAATAGTAACGTGTTCCAATCAATACTATCCGGCATCCCAACTTCATGAGTACCACAATCCAACAGGCCAAATTTCTCATTTGTTGTTTTTATTCTTTGCTCCCAGAAGTGATCAGACCGTTGCGACAGGTTACCATGGCAATGTTTTGATTCTTTCCAAATAGCCTAGATGAAAGAGCATTCTGCACCACTGGTGATGCAAATGATGTATCTAGCAGGACCATCACAAATCATTATTACACCCTCCCTGGCCCAATGTAAGCCAAAGTGAGGAAGACGAAGTTAGACAACATAATAATAATTATTACAGATTTTTTTAATAGTCTAAGCTTCTAAACCCCCCAAATTAAAATTTATAGCCCCACACAGTGCATACTATATCCCCCACAGCAAAGCCCATTCTTCCATATACTGTACATTTCTTTAGCCCCATACAGACTATGAACGACAGTGAAGCCCTGTACCCCATAGACATAGTATAGCCACTATCCACCTCACACACAGTACAGACCTTATTGCTTAATTTTGTACAGCCCCAATCAGTCCCACATTGCAGCCACTATTCCCTTCCACCAGCACAGACCCTATCATCCCCACACACATTAGAGTCCATATACAAACACACAATAAAGTCCCTATCACCTCTACACACATTATAGTCTCTAACCACAAATTCACTACAACTCCTACCACCAACACCCTCACACACACTACTGCCACTTATCCACACATAGACAGCACCACATGCAAACAGCACCACAGGTAGACTACCCAACACAGATTACCACTACAAGCAACCTAAAATGCATACAACACAACATGCAGTCTTTCACCCTCACACATAAAACACACAATCTTCCCTCTTTTAACCCTGTCTGACTTGTGTCCTTTGGTGCCCCACGTATGGTGAAACCAGAGAAAAGTCCCCAGTAAACACAGAAGAAGTGTATCATTAGAATTGCTTGGACTGTGTTAAACACAGGACATTTTCCCCCATGTGAGAGTTCTTCAGCAGGATTCTGCAAATGGGCTACCCTGGAGGGGGTATTGACCTGATATGCCCACTTTGCAGGTGTTGTGGGGGGATCTGTGGTCTGTCCTGCCTTGGTAGCCACAGGTACAGGGAAGTCCCTTCCAAGTCAGGTTCAATGTCGACCCATAATTTGAGCCCTTCTGGATCTGTGCCAATTGGGCTGCTTGGTGGTAGTCCCAGATTTTGGGGATTCCCAGGCCCCCCCTCTTATGTGGGATATAGAGTGTCGAGCGCTTAATTTTCCCTGCCCTTTTCCCTGCCCATATGAATTTATCTATTCGGGATTGTAGGGTTTTGAAATCTTTTCTGGATATCGGTACGGGCAGGGCTTGGAAGAGGTAGAGGAAGCGTGGTAGGAGGTTCATCTTGACCGAGGGCAGATGGCCCAGCCATCAGATGGTCAAGTTTTGCCAGTTGTCTAGGTCTTGGGTCACTTTTTCCAGTAGTGGGGGGTAGTTTAGCTGGTATGTGAGTTGTAGGTCTCCCGGTAAGTGTGTCCCCAAGTATTTTATGCTTTGTGTCTCATAGCGGAACGGGTATTCTGTTTTGAGTGTTGTTATAGTGTCTGTGGGGACATGGATTGGTAAGGCTTCAGTTTTATTTAGGTTCAGTTTGTATCCCGATATTTTAGCATAGTCTTCGAGGAGGGTTATGAGTGGGGGTAGGGAGGTATCAGGGTTTGTCAGCGTTAGTAGTAGGTCATCCGCGTAAGCCGCTATTTTGTATTCCTTTTTGCAGATTCCGATGCCGGAGATGGTTTCAGTCTGGCGGATTTTCTGGAGGAGGGGTTCTAGAGATAGGGCGAAGAGGAGGGGGGATAGGAGGCAGCCCTATTTCGTGCCATTGTGGATTGTGAAAGAGGGGGGTTAGGCGTTTGGGATGAGGAGGCTCGCTGTGGGGCTGGAGTATATGGTCCCTACAAAAATTTCGGGAAAGCCCATTCTTTCAAGGGTTGCAGACAGGTAGGGCCATAGTATGCGGTCGAATGCCTTTTCGGCGTCTAGAGAGAGGAGGAGAGTCAGTTGTTGTCTGTGGTTTGCTGTCCAGATTAGGTTGTATGTTCTTCTAGTGTTATCGCACGCTTGGCGATGTGGGATGAAACCGACTTGGTCCGGGTGGATTAGTTTGGGGAGGAAGGGGTGTAGTCGGTTGGCTAGGACTTTGGTGAATAACTTAATGTCGGTGTTGAGCAGCGATATTGGCCGGTAGTGACCTGGGTCTGTATGTGATACGTGGGGCATGGGGAGTAGGCATATAGTGGCCTGGAGCATGTCAGTGGGCGGTCCTCCCCATCCATAAGGGATGTGAATAAGGTTAATAGTTGTGGCAGGAGTATCGACGGGAACGTTTTATAGCATATTCCGGAGAAGCCGTCTGGTCCCGGACATTTGTTGGGTTTTAGAGTTTTCATGGCTTGTGTTATTTCCTCGAGTGTGATGGGTGTGCTAAGTGCCTGTTTCCCTGCTTCAGTGAGCGTTGGCGTAGGGATATGGTTTAAAAAGGTCTTTATTTTGTCTTGTGTTTGGGAGGGGTCACGTTGTGATTCGGGGAGAGTGTGCTTTCATCCATCGGGTGTTAGGATATGCGAGATGTGTTTGTTGCGTGTCCTTTTACGGAGTCTGTGGGCCAAGAGCATGTCTGCCTTGTTAGACTTTTCATAAAACATCTGTCTGGTCCATTGGAGGGCCTTTTTGGAGTCCTGTGCCATGAATGTTTGTGTCTCCTGTCTGTGCGTTTGTATTTGGGACAGTAGGCCAGGTATGGGGTCTGTTTTGTGTTGGTGCTCTAATGTTCTTAAGGCGGACAGGTGTGTTTCTAGCGTTTTTAGCTGTTGTTTTTTATGCGCTGAGGCTGCCGCTATTAGTTTGCCCCGTATAACCGCCTTATGGGCTGCCCAAAGGGTGCATGTGGAGGCAATGGAGCCTTTGTTGGTTTCAAAGTAATTCGCGATGTCTGTTTGGATTTTGTCCCTTATGGACGTGTTGTGGAGGTGGGTCGGGTTAAGTCTCCAGGTCCTGTTCCTAATTGTGTGCGGAAGGGTAAAGGAGAGGAGTATTTCCGCATGGTCCGACCAGGTGATCGATCCTATATTTGTATTTGTAATGTGTGGGAGTAGGGAGGGGGATGTGAGGAACATGTCTATGCATGAGTAAGAAGAGTGTGGGTTTGAGTAGAATGTGTAGTCTATTTCAGTGGGGTGGAGTATCCTCCAGGCGCCTAGGAGCTGTGTGCGGGAGACAAAGGCTTGAAGTGTTTTGTCGTTTTGGGTGGGAGGCAGGGGTCTTGTGGGTGGTGTTCTTTGTTGATGTCTATCTATTTCAGGTGCCAACGTGGCGTTGTAATCACCCCCTATTATTGTCTGATGGGAGGAGAAAAGACGGTGGTGCGTCTGGAAGGTGTTCCAGAAGTGTGTATCGGGAAGGGTGGGAGCATAGATCGAGAAGAAGGCGTATTTGTGGGGCCCTATCTGTCCTGCCACTGTTATATATCTACCTTGGGGGTCGGTTACTGTGCATGTGAAGGTTATGGGGCAGGTCCTGCGTACCAAGATGGCTACCCCATCCCTTTTCCCTTGTGGTGAGTTCGCTAAGTAGCACTCTCTGTAATGTCTGCTCAGGAAGAGGAAGGCTCTTGTCTGTTCGTAGTGGGTTTCTTGGAGTAGGATTACGTCGGTGGTTAGCCCACCGGAGAAGGCGATGTCTTTTAGCTGGGTTATTAAGGCCTTTGCCGTTAATGGATATGCATGCGAGGCATGCAGGTTTAGTGTTGCCCCGGTCTCCAGGTCCTGGGGGGGGCTTCGTTGGGGTTGTGAGGGCATCACTGGTTCTGCTCTGTGAATTAGTTTGTCAAGGAGGGGGGTCCAAAGGTGTGTGGTGGGGGTGGGAGTATCTGGCAAGGGGGGGCGGAGGTGGAACGGGAGGGAAAAAAGGAGGAGAAGGACTGGGAAGGGTGAAGGGGGGGATGTGAACGTGGGTGTCGGGTGCTAACCTGGTCTTATGTTCATGTTGCCAGGTCATCCTGGGGGTTCGGAGTGTCCTGGTGGATCCTCGGATGTCTGGTGGAGATGGTTGGTAGGTAGAGGAGGGAGTGAGTAGGTGGTTGTATGTCTATGTCTCCCTCCTCCCGGCATATGTGTGTACCGGGTGTTGCTCTGAGTCAGCGTCTGTGGGTAGAGAACAGTTAGTACATGATGTGGGTGTCGTTGTCGCCACTTGGGGCGTATGGTGGTTTGGTGCCCTCTTGTCTTGGTTCCTGGTAAGAGTGGCAGTGGTGCCTCTGTGCAGCTGTGAGGCGGGTACACAACAATACATTTCAGTATTAAACATAAGAAAAGATTATACCTTTAAACTATATACAACAACATTTTAAATTTTGCTGTTTACAACCCGGTTTCTCTAGGAGGTGGGTGTATATTGCTTTTGTGGTATCAGACTCCTTTGTGGGGTTGTATGGGCTACGTCTGGTTCGTATCACGGTGAGAGGGGTCTGAGTGGGGTGGTATCGTAGGCTTGTGTGGGGTGTCAGTGCATCAGAGGCTGATGTGCCCACTGTCTGGGAGGTGCTTGCTGGGTAGATGAACTCAGTTCTAGTTTTTTGGGGTCCCCCTCGGGTCTGTCCTTCCCAGTAGTTGCCAGGTCCTTACTGTAGTGGGTTGAAGGGTGCATCAGTGTTGTCCCGTTTGTCATGTCACCAGCTTCGTGGGGGGGCGGGTCTGGGGGTCCAGCCTTTTCTCTTGCGGTGGATTGGGCTTAACCCGTGGATGTTGCTTTATGCATAGTGTGAGCGGGTAGGGGGTGGGGACGGGTGAATGGAGGAGTAGTGTGGCCTATAATATTGAGGTGTTGCCTGTGAGTGTCTCGACATTATTTACCCCCATGTCCATGGTTGCTCTCCGCGGGTCCCTCCGGTCTCGGTTGGCTCGGGCGTGCTGTCCCCGGCTCTGTAGCTCAGTGTCTGAGCTCTGGTTGGGGTTCGTGCAGGGTATGGAGGTTGCGGACGTAGCACGAGCGGGCCTTTGCTGAAGGTGGGTACGGATCATTGAGGGGTTGGGTGGAGGTGTCCCGTGGGGGGTAGTAGGCCTTGCGGTGTCTGGGATCAGGGCAAGGGTATAGTTTCTGATGTCGTTGGGGTTTCCTCCTTTAGTCCTGTGAGGTCCTTTTTTGTCTGCGGTTGGTGGGTTGGTAGGGTGGGTTGGGGTCTGTGGTGTACTTGCCATATCTCAGGGTGTCCATTGTAGGAGCGGTTGATGTATGCATAATGAATTAACATTACCCTGTGTGCTATTCAGAATAAGGGCATAGTTGTGAATTAAGACAGATTAAATTACATTAGTGCCCGATTCGTCTACCTTAACCCCTGTACGCTTATACATGATAGAATATATGGTAACATTAGCTTGGTTGGGGGGCATATCCCTTAATACATGGTGATAGCCTGGCGTTAATCCAAATATCTATACATGCAATTCCTATCAAGGTTGATGCGCTGAGATTACAATAGAGCACAAATGGTACGTTTCGGGTAGGCTGTAAATCTAGCGCTACACATCCTAGCCTATCTAGAGCCAAAAAGTTAAATTAAAGAAATAAAAGCATGTGGTTTCGTAAGATTAGATAGCCTTTGCTGTCTTAGACTGTATCCATTTACCCCCATGTCCATGGTTGCTCTCCGCAGGTCCCTCCGGTCTCGGTTGGCCCTGGCGTGCTGTCCCTGGCTCTGTAGCTCAGTGTCTGAGCTCTAGTTGGGGTTCGTGCTGGGTATGGAGATTGCGGAGGTTGGTGTCAGACAACGCGAGCAGGCTTTTGCTCAAGGTGGGTATGGATCATTGAGGGGGTTGGGTGGAGGTGTCCTGTGGGGGGTAGTAGGCCTTGTGGTGTCTGGGATCAGGGCAAGGGTATAGTTTCTGATGTCGTTGGGGTTTCCTCCTTTAGTCCCGTGCGGTCCTTTTGTGTCTGGGGTTGGTGGGTTGGTAGGGTGGGTTGGGGTCCATGGTGTACTTGCCATATCTCAGGGTGTCCATTGTAGGAGTGGATGATGTATGCGTGTCTGGGTTCTCGTGAGTGGGCTCCTTTGTGGAGTTAGTCCCGGCTTTCACTGTGTGCCGTCAATCTCTTGCGCGGTGTGCGGTGTGGGGATCTCGCAAACCTCTCTCTCTGAGCTCTTTGTAGGCCTCCGGTTCCCGTAGATGTTAGCGATGGTGGTGGTAGCCGGGTGAGGCCCAGCGAGTCCGCGAACAGGATCATTTCGGTTGGGCTTGTGAGTACGTGGGTCTGGTTTTCTTTCCGGACTATCAATTTAAATGGATGGCCCCACATGTACCTGATGCCATGATGAGTAAGCGTGAGGGTTAGCTGTTTGAGATCTCTCCGCTTTTTCAAAGTAGATGGGGCGAGGTCTTGGTAGAAGACCAGGCAGTCCCCTTGGTATTGCGGTGGGGTGTTCCTAGTAAGGTTGAGGATCTTTTCTTTGATTGTGAAGAAATGCATGCGAACTATGACATCTCTGGGGGCGTCCGGGTTCAATGTTTGTGGCCTCAAGGCTCTGTGTTCCCGGTCTAGGTGGAGGTCCTGTGCGGATGCTTCGGGCAGAATTGTCTTAAATAGGCTTTTGAGAGTGGCGTGTAGGCCTTCTGCAGTGACCGCTTCAGTTAGGCCCTGGATCCAGATATTATTTCTTCGAGATCTGTTGTTCAGAACCTCCAGGCTTTACTCAATTGCTTCAATTTTAGCATGCAGGTGCGTGATGTCTTGTGACTGTGCCTGGCACGTGGCAGTGAGGTCCTTGATGCAGGTCTCAGTGTGGAGGGACTTGCTCGTTAGGGCCTCAGTATCTTCCTTTATGCAGGAAAGTTTTTTTGTCAAATTCTGCTGCCACATGGGACTTAATGTCCGCGGTGGCTTCCCTGAGCATGGATTGCATGATGTGCAGGGTCAGGGGGGCATCTGGGGTTGTGCTGTGTTCGCTCTCTTCAGAGTCTGTGCAGGCTTCCTCTGTATTTTGGCGGCAAGATGGCCCGCCTTGTTCATGTTGTGGATGGAACATCGTGGCAACCGAAGGGGTCTGATCCTTTTTTTGTTTTCCACCTCCCACCATTACTCAGGGTAGTTGCCGGCTGAGTGTTGTAGGAGTTGTTGTGTGTTCTCTGGGTGCGTTTGTGTCTCAGTACATGCAGATGGTAGCGGATTCTATATGCCGGGAAGAGGGAGCTCTAGATTTATGCTGCCATCTTCCTCAATGGTCAGGCTCTGCCCCGAAAAAAACTTTTAAAATTATATTTTCATTGTATCATATACCAAACAATATATCAATATATAAAAAAATGCATAACAATGTTTTTCAAAATATGAAATCATTTTAAAATGTTTTGTTTTTCATAAAAAAAATATTTAAGATGAAAGATTGCTAAAATTATGAAATTGTATTTATGTGTAATTGTGTTAATGGTTTTACATTTTGACTGTATCTTCTCTTTCAGAGTAAAACTTAGCAGACATTATAATGAATGGATTTAGGATTCAGATGCAACCCATCTTTATACAATCACCAACTGACAGTTCATGATTCATGTTTAGTTCAAATTGTCTATCTTTGGTTGTAGAGCAAGTTTTGGACTTCTATAAGGTCCATAAGCCAGTTGACAAAAAATAAGTAATTGTCACTCTGCTGGTCACCTGCTGCACTCTTCTACATGTATTATACTGTTTTGTTTGATTAGCTTAAAGAAACCCAATTTTGTCACTCAATCGAACTATAAAAGAAAACGCAACATCAGTTGGACAGGTGAAATTTTGATCTTAAAGGTTTATACAAAAGGATGGCAGTGAAATCCTCATCTATACATTAAAGTCTCTGTGAAAAACAGTTTACGATGAATCATGTCATTGTCTGTTTCTTTTACGGGTGTTTATCCATTTGAAATACATTTTCACTATTTTGTTCTTCCAAGAGATATGATTAACGGTGATAACTGAAGAGCAGTTTACTTACCGACTTTTATGAGAAAATTACTTTTCAGCTTTTAGAGATAACCTTATCACTTCTAGTAGTATCTAGCACTATAAGATGAAGTTTGAAGAAAGAGATTCAAAAAATAAAAAAGTAAAGGATTTAGCTAAAAGCCAGAGATACAGAAATCCATGACCTTTATAAAAAAAACATAATTTCAAAGAGAATATTCCTGGGAGCAGTTTAACGATATGGTACAGAAATTTTAGCTTGATTTACTTAATTTTTGAGCAGTGACCAATAAATCATTTTTAAGGATATATGCACAACAGATATGTTTAAATATATTTCAAACTATACTGTTTATATAAATAAAAGAAAGGTAATTAACTTTTGAAAAAATAATTGTATCAATACAAATGACCTAATTCCAAAAACTTGCTGTGGTCTAAAAATACATATATTCTGCCCTCTGTCCTGTTATACTTATCAAATATTTTATTACCATGCAGGAAAATATTTAGATAAGAGGAATTCTTCCCTATTCTGGTATACAGAATTTTTTTTTAAACAGTAGTACAGAGCTAGTGATAACTATTTTATTCAAGAATAGCTTTTACTTCTTTAAAGCTTTGATATCTTTGCATTAATTTCTATATATCTATCCAGATCCACATGATAAAGTGTGGTAATATATGTGAATATACAGTTAGATCCGGGAATATTTTGACACTGACACATTTTTCATAATTTTGGCTCTGTACCAGAGGCTCTCTAATTAGGTGGTTTAGGCGGCCGCCTAAGGCCTCGTGCTGGCTGGGGCCTCGCAGCCGCCTAAACCGCCCTATGGCAGACTGTGTCAGACAGAGGCGGATCTCTAATTAGGCAGGTTTAGGCGGCCGCCTAAGGCCTCGCGCTGGCTGGGGCCTCGCGGCCACCTAAACCACCTTTTGGCAGACTGTGTCAGGTCCTCGGACCTGACACCAGGAGGGGGCCCCGCGGCTTGCACGGTATGCCGCCGGGTGCGAGGCCCATGCAGGCGTCCTGGCCGGAGAGCGCCTGTAGCTGTTGGTCTGCATCTCCTCGTAGTGTGCAGAGCTGCAGACCAAATGTCTTGCGAGGTCTGGCCAATCGGATCGTCATCGTGGTAACCCGCGGCAATGTTTCGATTGGCCAGATCTCGCAAGACATTTGGTCTGTAGCTCTGCACACTGCGCAGAGCTGCAGACCAGACATCACCACCGGACCACCAGGGAATGAAGCCACTAGACCACCAGGGAATTCAGGTATTTAGTCCCCCCTCCCACAGCACCATTACCCCCTCCCTCCCAGTAACCCCCTTCAATATCACCCCTCCCTTCCAATATACCCCCTCCCTCCCAGTAACCCCCTTCAATATCACCCCTCCCTTCCAATATACCCCCTCCCTCCCAGTATCACCCCCTCCCAATAAGCCCCTCTCAGTAACCCCCTCAATATCACCCCACTTCCTCCCAATATAGCCCCTCTCTCACAGTAACCCCCTCAATATCACCCCTTCCTCCCAATATACCCCCTCCCTCACAGTAACCCCCCTCAATATCACCCTCCTCCCAATATACCCCCTACCTCACAGTAACACCCTCAATATCACCCCTCCCTCCATCCCTCCCAATATACCCCCTCCCTCCCAGTA